ATGGCCCGGAATGAGCTTCATCGTCATGGCCCTGGGCGGCCCTGGCAGACGCATCTCCCCACTGCAATATTGCAGTGCCCTGCTACCCATCTAGGTGCTGCTGTTTGTGGTCCGCCGTCTCGTCGATCAGCCGCAAGCCTACTCGCATCTAGAGGTGGTTGAGGTATTCCGTGACAACGACCAGCAGGCCGCTGATGAAGGCCGTCAGGGTCAGCTTGGGGTGCGTCTCGCAGCCACCTTTTCGGCGGGTGACATCTGTCCGCTGCAATGGCAGATTGGGGCGGCATAGCTGGAAGAGGGGAGTTGTTGCACTTCACCATCTCTACGTTAATCCGGACATCTTCACTCATCCGTCGATCTATCAGGGTCGCTTCCGTATATACCTCCCGCTATCGGAAGAGGCCCTGGGTCTCCGACCGGCGGCTGAGCTTAGTCTGCAGCCTGCAGGCCTGCTGTCAAGCGCATTGGCCAGAGTCCGACAGTGGACCCAGCAGGATGGCTACGACTTGCGCGCAGCTCTGGCGGTTTGGCTGCCTGGACCCAAAAGGATCACCATGTATTACCCTGAACGCTTTTACTTAATGGGGAGTCATACCGTGACTGGCCGGCATGGAGATCATTAGGCGAGACTTCGCCGAGATTCCCATGGGCCTCCGCATGGACTATCCGTCATACACCCTGGGCCAGAATCTCCGTATTGAGGACTGGGTCGCGGCTGCTAGGCAGTTCGTGGCCGAGGGAGGACTAGCGGGCGGTCTTGGTTACCAGTTTTTGGGCTTCCGGCTGGTGCCCAACTACTCACCAACTTACTTTTATACCCGGCAGCAACTGACCCGACGCCAGGATGCGGGCGAGTGGGCGTTCTTATACACCCTTAATGACACACATATGGATGACCCTGCCCACTTTCGCAAGGTTCTCTGGGAGATTGCCGTGCGATATTGGGAGCGGCGCGCTCCGCACGTCCGCTTGTCATAACGGGAGTGAGACGTCAAGAGCGCCTGACACCTGACCTGCTGTTCGGTCGGTGTTAGGCCCGTTGGTTGTGCCCTGCCCTGGCCATTCGGCTACGGGCGTATGAGCTTGGTGTTCGCCTCGAGATCTGTCCTTTGCCCATGTGCACCATCGCTGCCGTGTTGTTCTGAGTTGCGATGGTTAGTGGCAAGCCATGGCCACGCTACCGGAACATCTTGTGGCACCGATCGTCCTCTGTGCCTCCGTAAAGTCGATACCGGTGCTCTTTGGAGCCCCACCGTCGGCTGCCACTCGGCAGGTACTTCGCGCCATTGGTTCACAGGAGCGCAGGGCTGCGGGCCTCGTGCTCCGTCATCTCTACGCGGAATATCGTCACCGTGTCTTTGCGTACTTGGCGCAGCGCAACCTCTTTGGTTTCCAGGTGGCGACCGACTTCCAAGTGGCTGTGCGACTTGGCATTCAAGTGCGCGCTACCATTTTACAAGTTGACCTCGAGACTGTGGTGGCGATCGCTTCGGTGTCCCGCCTCGCAAATTGGACGGTTACTCGTCTTTACGTGGGGGCGGACTTCTTGCGCACTGCAGACATTCAGTCTGCGCTTATTGACACGCAGCCCTGGGCCTTTGCGTGTCCTGCGCTGTGGGGGATGCCGTACTTCTCCATGGAACCGTTGGGCGATCTTCCGCTTACGCGGCTGCGGCCGCCGCTACAGGTTTGCAACTCGTTCAATTTGGGTGCTTCAGGATCTGCATAGCCCTTGCCCTTGCGAAACCCGCCCAGGTGGGAAGCTGGGCAGGGTTGGTTTGCGGCTCTGGAATTCCCCTCTCTTTGGAGATCTTACGCTGGACACATCTGTCTCCTTGTCTTGGCCCTTGCGATACCCACTCATGGGAAGCTGGGCCCCTGCTCATGCCATACAAGTGTGGCTGGATAACCGATACGGCCCGAAGTGCGCAGCGCTCCCTTTGCGCTGGCGCTGCCCATACGGGACCCGCCTTGCTGCCATATTGCAAAATGAGGACTTTCTGAGACAGCACATCCATCCTGCCACACGGCCGGACGGGGTTCCGCATGCCCACACCGAAGGCACCCACTAGATTGTGCCTCAGAAATTGCCTGTGCGATAGCCCTTGCGATGCCCACTACGTGGGAAGCTGGGCTTTGGAGAGCATTGCGGTCACCTACCAGCCTTCTCTTTTGATTGCACCTTGCCTCGGTGCTTGGTGCTGCTGCCCATTGTCTGAACTGCCCTTTATGCCCTTGCGAGACCCACCCTGGTGGGAAGCTGGGCTGGGCCGCGTAGGCTGTGTGCCGTTCTTGCATCAGTGTACCTGACTGGATGGTGCTGTTGCCTTACCGGTCAGACGTTGCAGGGCAATTTATTTGTGTTGGCTGCAATTGCCAGTGCCGGTGCGCCTTGCAGCCTCTTGAGTTTTGGTTGCCTGTCTTTCGATTCTCGGCTCCGGATCATTGCCCTTGCGAGGCCCACCCTGGTGGGAAGCTGGGCTTGAGAACGCTACTTGTCGTGCACCTTCCATCTTGCTTGGCATGCACCTTGTCCGTGGGTTGTGACGACGCTGCCTCTGTTCATGATGGATCCGGCAATTGTGAGCTTTTTTCTCGGGCGCCGAGCAGGATGTATGCGCTTATACTAGTTCCTGCCATGGACAGCAATGGGTGCCCCAACGTTCCTGGCAAGTTGGCCTTCACATGCGTATGTACGCCATTGTGCTAGCCAATCTGTCTGGAAGTGGGGCTTCTGAGCGGCTTTAGCACTTGAAACATAACCAGGGCTGAACGATGCCTGCCGGCGAAGTCTGCAAGTCGCAGCCCGTTTCACCTTAGTGTGCATTTTCTCTCTCTCTCTCTCTCTCTCTCTCTCTTTTCATTCTTGTAGTTCTTGTAGTTCTTATTGGGACCGAGTGCAGCAACTGCTGTCTTTGAGGCCCGCCCACGCCAAAAAAAAAATCCTGGCAAGGTAGGACGAAAACCGGCAGCGGAAATCGCAGGCGTGTTATGGGGAGTTCACCCAAGGGCTCCATGGGAAAGTAAAGCAGTCTCGCCAAACCATGCCATCCCACAGCCCAGGGTTGCATTGCTGTTATGGCCGACTGAACGGCCTCGGCTCGAAAGAAGTCAGCGCCCTCGCAAAGTGCGAGGACAATCCGACAGACAAGTCGCGACGCCGGAGCCAGCACCATTAAGGCCTCGAGATCGATTTGTAGAATAGTGGCGCGCACCTGAAAGCCAAGTCGTACGACGAATGTGGCATCCCACCTGCTCTTGAGCCCAAGTTGCTATGGGTAATGCTTGAGTAAAGAAAAGAATTCATGCGACCACGAGCAAAACCACAACATACACGGTTCTCATGTGCTTTCAAGCCTGGAGGCAGACGGGGCCCGCCGCGCATCTCAATTCATAGTCGGGCTGTAAGAAATCCGAAAAAACTAACAAGATCAGAAGGGGCACGCTTGACGTACAGACCATAATGAAGCCAAACAACCCCCTCTCCACAAGCGGGCGAAAGCACCTGAAGGACCCGGCGCAACAAAGCTCTCGACCGCTTCCAGAAGAAAACTGCCGGTGAGCGGTCACTGCTGAATCGGGAGGATCGCAGCAGCGGCTCCTCGCCAACCTCGGTCAAGGAGAACCCCAATCATTGACTCAACGCGGGGTGGTGACATTGCCTGCCTCCTTTCTGTCCTCGCCTCCTGCAAATGGTCCTCCTTGTCTGGGTGTTGCCCACAGATGTACAAATTAGCAGTTTGAATCAACCACCCTGGGGACTCCAGCTCTGCACGGATCGTGCCACCTCCCGCTTCAGCGTAAGAGCGTCTGTAAACTGCAAAACAAGGGTCCATGGCAACACAAAAAGAAGAGAGCAGAGGTTGGCCACCCAAGCAAGGCTCATCTTCAATGGAAGGGAAGGAAACCCTGGATGTGATGCAAAGAGACTGTAAAATAAGTGGACCGCATACGTTCAGAGGCTTTGGCCATGTCCGTCAATATAATAACAGAATCGAAGTCTCATGCCCACAATGCGTCTTGCATGGCAAGGTTTGAAGGGGCCAGAAGACGCGGAGATTGTTGATTCTTGCTGCCAAGTCCATCGCTAACCTGCCTCGTGCCTGTGTCTCATTCGTGCCTGTGTCTCAAGGATTGCGTGATACGCCAGCGATACACCACGGCATCTCTCATCTGACAGAAGGAGGATGAAAAGTCCGTTGCGAAGGTCACATTGCAATGATGCCAAGACCAACAAGGGAAAGAAGCTGTATGCTTTGGCCTCATATTGGCCTTGCGGGCAGTTTTGGTGCTTACAACGTCGACCGAGGTGTTCATTCCCTCTAGCGCCGAATGGTGTTAACTGTGTCTTGGTTAGCCCTCTTGTCTGCATCCATCCTCGGTGGCGCGGTGCACTATTCCAGAAACGACGTTGGGCACCGCAACGGCTCGTTAGCACGAAAAGTGGCTCATGCTCGTTGGAGCCCCAAGATCCCAAGCGATCCAGTCTTTGAAGCAGTGGTTTTCCTCGGCCAAGAATCCAGCTCCAGTTCGTGTTTGATTGCGAACCATTGTCCTTGCAAGCTAGATTTAGAAAATTGTGTGCGTTTCGACTTTATTTTGTTTTGCAATGTCAAAGAAGGCATTTGTGTGCAAGAACATGGTTCGAACGAGCCCTAAAAAACTATGACAAGTTCACTGTTTCTTTGCTGCAATCTGCCGAAGTCTCGCAACAATTGGTTTTTTGGAAGCAAAAGCGACATCATTGCCTTCCGCCTCCATTGTGAATTCCCAAAAATCAATTTTTGCAGCCACTGCCCGGCATGTCGTTGGAAGGTTGCAGAGCTCGGCATCATGATTCGTCATGTATGGGTGTTCCAGCAGCGGCTTTTTCGGTGATCGCAGAACGGGTTGTACGCTTCGTGGAAGTTTGCAAGTTGTGGGTAACGCAAATGGAATCGGGTTCCATGTCAAGCTGCTTTGATTCGGTTGAGTTGAGATGATGCCGTCGCCGATGTGCAATGGATGGAACGGATCGTGGGAATCATGACGCAACTTGGAAAGAACACAAGACAGTTGCCCAATGTTTCATAATCGTGTCAGCCTCTACATTGCCAAGGACAGGTTGAAGCATCGTGTGTTGGCGCTGCCAAGCTTGAGAGGTGGCTTGTTGGTGCATGCGCTCAAGAAGATCAAGCAGCGAACAGGAGTCAAATGGGCTTGCAGGGATGTTTCAGATGTGTTCGGGGAGCAGTGAATATACTGGCACCCATAGTTGTCGATAGTTTTCGTAAGACCTACCTGTTGTGGCGATCGCTTTAAAGGAGTACTCACTTGCGAACTACAGATGCTCGGTTGCAATAGCATGTTCGACGATTGTGCATCGCATTCGGACTTTTGTCGGAACCTGTTCTTGTGGTTACAAGTTACAAGTTGCAGGTACCTCGATTATGGAGCAGAGGAGCGGATCAAATTGTTTGTTGTAGAAAAATGTGGCCCGCGCCACAGAAGTCATGTATGCTGTGGTTTTTTTTCGGAGGTCGTGATCAATGGGAAGCCCGGCAGCGTATTGAACTGTGAAGAAGCTGTACTGCAAGTTGCCGAAGGCAGCATTGATGGATGGGGCTTCGCAGAAGTCCGCCATGAGGTGGGGTTGGCAAAAAGCTGGGTTTGCAAAAACAAGTGGTTTGTACATGAAGCAGGACATTTTGTCTTAACTACCAAGTCACGCTTCAAAGCTTTCTAGCAGGCTGCAAGTCAGCCGCCGGCGAATGCCAGGTGTCCTTTCCGGCCGCCAAAAAGCTTGAAACGGGCAAAGCCAAACCTCATCGAAGCCCAGCACAAGCCATTGGATGTATGACAGGCTCGGGCGGAGGTTTCGTAGGCCTTGGGGATCTGCACCATCCTTTGTCCGCAGGTTGCGACCTTATTCTCGATGAAGCGCAGTCGCAGATGCTTGTGGTGGGTCCTTCTGAAGCTGTCGCTCGCGGTGCTGCCAGGCTTGCAGCACCTCGGTGCCAGCAAGATTGGGTGTGAGCTTTCAGTTTTGTGAGATGAACAGGCTGACTGCGAAGTTCATTCATTAGATCACCTGGCCCGTTTTGCGCTCTCCAGACGTATGGCCGATGAACCAGTGTCTCCATGTTCATGCTGCTGAACAGAGGAGAAATTTCTGGCGTCGCGGAGTCATGATCTTTCTGCTGTCGTCAAGGCACCTTCCGTGACTTAGTGTTGTCGGGCTGCGCTGTGCGCTTGAATTAGCCGCGCATGCCACGTATGTTTGTGCAGGTTGACACGTCGCGTGTCCTGGTGGCAGATCGCATCCTTTGTGATACCTAGCGGGCATGTGCTGATGCAAGATTTCTCTGTTTGCACTGCATGCAATTTCGCACACACCGTCGTGTTCAGTGTTAGCAGAGGGATCGAGTTTTGCTTTTGTCTCTCTTCCGGTCATGCAGAGATTCTGCGCCCGTTGTCTCTTGAGCAAGGAGCTGACTCGAAGTGCGTGCCTTGCCTTCAATGGATCGAGCCGCAAACCAAGTTCATCAAGTAGCAAGGCTTTGTATTGGCACTAGCAATGCTGCCGTGTTTCTATTTTGCATGCTGGGCGCGATCGTGTTGCACTGTTCCCATGCCCCGACAGCTTATGTTTCCCTCTCAGGTCTCGGCTCACGTGCTACATCACGGTGGTGTTGCGGCTGAGATGAAACCGTTGGATTCGAGCGGGGGAGCAAAGGAAGCTGGCACGCAGAGAGGGTTGTCACACTTGGAGCATTGGTTCAGGCTCGTCAGCCCAGGACTCGGACGCGAGAGCATGGAAGCCACCTGCAAAAGCACCGCCGGAATTCGTGTCCTTGGCCCAGTGGCCCAGTCTTTTGCCTTCCTGCATCTTCGTGCAACTGTGGAATTCCTCAGGCTGGCAGCTCCACACTCAGCCCCGTGGCTTCGTGCGTAGGGTCAGCTTGTTTCTTTTTCTGTGACCATGTCATGCCTTGGTCGTAGATTCGAGCCAAGCCGGGCAAGGCCTCTTGTTGGCTGGCATATCTCTGCTCTTTACGCAGGCAGATGTAACACCCGCAATTTGTGCAGAGCTAAGGACCGCCCTGCAGGATGTCCCGTGGTCCAAGCTGTGACGGATGAATTTGGCCGCCGATATTACTTGAACCACATGGATGCCACATCGAGTTGGCATCCACCTCCTCCGCATATTGGCTTCTGGGAGCAACTGCTTGATTACAGGCCTGTTTGCAATCTCTTCTCCGTAGGCAGCCCATACTGAAACCTGCGAGGACGGGCCGAGCCTATTTCGTGAACCGTGGTACCGGACAAACTTCTTGGGACTTGCCTGGTCGTCTGCATCAGCCGGGAGCTGAAGCAAAGGCTCAGCTGGGCCAAGCTGGGGCTTGTTTGTTGTCTTGTTTGGTCCTGCGAGAGTTTGATGGGGAGGCGAAACTTTCTGCCCCGTCTCCCAGCGCCTGGGTCCCGCCTTCCACGCCGCCGGCGCCTCCGCCTCCGGCGCCTCCGTCAGCGACGGTGCCCACAGAGGCCCCAAGCTCTGACCGTGCGGCGAGCGTCCGCATGACGCAGACCGACGACCCGCTTGAAGGCACCATGGCTCAGTCAGAGGGGACTTCAGCGTTCCCGGTTCCCAGCCGCAGCCCAGGCCGAAGGGAAGCACGGCTTCGGACAAGGCAAGCACTGGAAGAGATCAAAGCTCGCAGGCGCCGGAGTCCCGGACCTCCGGGTCCTTCTTCAGGCAATTTGGCGGCAATGCCCAGCAGTTAAAGAGGTGGGCTTTGAGGCCGACAGGGTTTGCTTCTGTTCGCCAGTTAAATTGCTTTCGGACCTTGCTTCATTTCACTCCGCTCAGTCCCGGTCTACGAAGCCGCGGAAGACTTCCTGGAGTTGCCTGCGGGTGATGGGGCCGAGCACCAGGCAGAGGACCGAGACGACGATGCGGAGGCTGACGGCGAGCCAGGGGAGCTTGTCTACGAGGAGGAAGAAGATGTGTCCCTCGCCACATTTCGCCGAAAGAGTTGCAAAGCAAACTTGACGGGGAACTGCACTGGGCTGGAAGCAGCTTCTCCATGTCTGCCACAGGTGTCGTGTTTGGTGCAAAGCCTAGTCTTGAGTCTGTTGGTCTAGGGAGTCGTGCTGGCTTTGGATTCCTGAGTGATGGAGCTCAGCGACGGTCCCTGGCACGAAGGTTCAGCACACAAGGCGCTGAAGGAACACACGCGCACGCAGAAACGTTCGCTGAAGATGGCGATCCAGGTGCTGGGGCGCACCCTAGTTCGTCAATGTGTGGACATTCTGCTTTGGCAGGACGGCCATCCCCGACAAATCAGCAAGACATCTCAGACGAGGTGTCTGAACGTGGACTTGTGTTGGAAGTTGTCTCCTCATTGACCACGAAGCTTGCCACAGGTGCTCGTGGATCTTGACCCAGTTCCGGATGTTGAGCAGGAGCACCTCAGCAGCAACGGGAAACAAGGTCAAGCCGGAAACCAGAAAACCCGGCCAAAAAAAGCGGTGCAAGAATGGCAATGCGCGGGATGATGTTTTTGTTGAGTCTAGCAATTTTCGAGTTGTGACAGCGCCCATGATCGCGCTCCGGCCCCTTGTCCACGCCTCCCCTGCATACCGCCTGCACATCCCATATCGCGCTCCCTTGCTTTTCCACGCCCCGCGCGCACCGCCCGAGAACCTGTATTGCGCTCCGCCGCTTGTCCGCACCCGGACCGTTCCCTCCATTCTGCTGCCGACACAGCCATGCTCCGCGTCAACGCCGCCGGCTGACCGTGCCTCCTTGACCCACCTCTCCCGTCATTCCACCATCCGCATCCAAGTCCATCGTTTTTCTAAACCTTTTCTTCCAGCCAGGCGTGAAATCATTAAACGAGAACCCAACCCAACCCCAGAGGTTTGAGGGAAAGAAACAGGGATCTTGATACGGTTGGCCTGCAGCATGCAAGGTTCTGGGAAGAGGACATAAGCATGGAGTTCGACTTAGCCGACAAGGACCTGTCAGCGCGAGCCGCTGTGTGAAGTATTGACAATTACGGATCGGGGGTGCAAGGATGACATTTTCGAGTGCGATGTTTTCGAACAAGAAGACTTGGATGACTTCGCAGACGAAGAGGCCATCAAGCAACATCCCCGCAATTCAGGAATGGTTCTTTTAGACATGCCTAAGCTGCAGCAATCCAGCAAGTTTTCGGGGATTTCCCTGAGGCACGAGCTGCTGTCCGAGATCCAAACATTACGTGAGCGCGACTTGGAATGCCGTGCACAGTACCACTTCCTAGGCTGAATCTTGGTTTTGGTAGTGTGTTGTGCGTAGTTGTGTTGGGGATGGGGCTATTAGAAGAGGGGAGAAAGGAAGCAAGTAAGGAAGGAATAGAGGAATGAAGGAAGGAAGGAATAGATGAAAGAAGGAAGCAAGGAGGGGAAGGGGAACAAGGGAAGGCACGACAGGACGAGGAAGCCAGCGCTTGCAATGACTATTAATGACCTAAACTTTCTTTTTGCTGTCCTTGATTCCTGCTACCTTCCTTATTCACAGCCACCTTAGCAGTCCTTCATGTGCTGTTCGAAGCAGAACAGGTCAAGATGAGGAGGTGCACCTAGAGGACGACATCGCATGGCAAGTGGACGAGGAGGAGTTCAATGATTTGGTGCACGAGCCAGTGAGACCCGCCAAGGACAGAGGGTTTCAGTTCAGTGGCCATCTAGAAGGCACTTTTGTGTTTGCAAGTTTGAGTAGAAGGGCCCAAGCAACAGCAAGCTCGTTCCTGCCCCGTGTTTTCAGAGCAGGCTTACTCCCGACAGAGGCTTCGACTCACCAGGAACCTACCCCACGCTGACTTTGCCTTCCGTTGCCGCCGCAGCCGACATGGAATGGGCCCCGTGTGTTTGTTCAGGGGCCTCATGCCCCCGAGACAAGGAGAAGAAGAGGCTAAGAAAACGTGACACGAGAGTTCCGCCTCTGGCTGTTTCCCTCTGCTTGTTCTCTGACGCACCATCTTTCAAAAAACGCTTTGCAGTTCGACAAGACCCCAAGCGTAGGTCGAGCGCAGGTTTCAGTCAGTTTGGGGTGAACGGAGGGAGTCTGATCGCAGCGGCGGCCCACGTCACAGAGCCTGGGCAGGGTCATGGTCCCAGTGAACTTGGTGAACCTCAAATGACGAGGAAGGCGAAGGCCTCGGTTGTTGCCAGCTAGGCCCTAGGCTATCTCTGAGCAGCACTTTTGGCTGAGGTCATCCGGCCTCCAATGCAGCCGAAGAGCAAGCACAAAGCGAAGCCGACGCCGCCTTCTGAACCACCGCCAAACTGGCACAACGGTGCCAGAAGCTCCCAGGACCGGTTGGAACACACTTGACTGATTGTTCTTTCTGCCCTTCGCAAGACTCGCAAGAGTAGTTATGTTCTGCCGGCGAGGCAGAGCTCTACAACGATCGTGGCGCGCAGCGGGGCCAATGGAGATCTCAGAAAGGAGCTGGTGGCAAGAGACAGCCTGCCAAAGGCACATGGAAAGAGCAGAAGAGGAAAGTGGAGTACACTGAGCATTCGCCAGCTGCACGGCGAAGGAAAAGTTGGAGCAGCGACAATTGGGTTGGTCACGAAGGGCATGATCCCGAATGGGGTGATACCAGCAGCTGGGACGGCCCGAGCCACGAGAGAGGATATCGCCATGCAAAGCCCATGGACGAGGCTCGGCAGGTCTCCAACGATTCGCTATGAAACGAACAGCATGAGCTATACGCCGCTTCTTCAGGATTGGTCGAAGGATTGGAAAGCTTGGAAAGATGAGGGTACCTGGAAGCGAGGAAGCTCTTCCAGCTCCAACAGAGGCTTCGGCTTACCGTTTCAGTGTGAGTCCACCATTGTGTCAAACCGCGCAGGTTGGAGCTGGAAGCGCCGCTGATGCAGCCCCCAGGAAAACAGTTGGCACGTTAGCGTTGCATCTGATCCTAGTCTTCAAAGGTTGTATCAGATTGCTGTGCTAGCTTTCCGTCGGGCCCGGATGAAGCCTTGAACTTGGTCAGAACTGTTTTCTTGCCTGTGCCCGAGCCCTGATCTGATGCAAACAGCAAGCACTTGCAGAAGCCGATCCCCCACGCGCCCACGCTCGGAAAGGGTAGCGGGTAGCGTGTTTCTGGACCATGGAGTGCCATGGCGGGCAAGGCGTCAAGTTGCCTGGCTGCCTGTCCTGAGCCTGCACCTCAGTGTGGGCGCCTGACCTGTGCCACCGCATGTGCAGTGTGCAGACAGCGCTGCGTGATCACTACGTTGCAAGGTTACAGCTTCCTGCTAGCACCGTCGCATATCTGGACTCCGTACTGTCGGAACTCACTGCTGAAGAGACAGAAGATCCTTGCCGCAGTTTTGCAGTCTCATGAGCAGTGCCGAGAAGAGAGCCATGAAATCTTTGCCATGTGCAGATCGCTTCGCTAGGACTATGCTGTCCTGCACGCTCTTCTCGAGCCTTTTCTCTTGGATGCATTGACACTTGGTCCGAACCTGCGCTTTGAAGGCAGAGTCTGCTTGCCCAGATCTGTGGCACGTCATCACATCAGGAAGCAGAACGGGCGCGAGACACCGCACAATAGTACGAGCGATGCCAAGGTGGAGCGCATGTGTTTCATTGCTGCATTTGTTGTTTGTTCGAGCTTATTAAAAGCAGCTCAGATTATCGAAGCTGTTTTCTGCTGGCGTCTCATTTACCAGGTCGATTGCTCTACAACCAACTCAGAAAGGCAACGACGAACAATTCGCGACGCGACTCGACTTGCGAACAGCTCTTGGGTCCAGACTTACAACTTCGCAGATGCATGCAGTTTCGTCGGGTTAGGAGCGCTCTCTTGGTGTGAAGCTGTTGATCCAAGCTTTGCTGCGTCGGACTCAATCAGGATTGGTCTGATTTCGGTGCTTCTCAGTTTCACAATGTTTCACAAGAATCCACACCCCAAAGCACTCTAACTTCAACCTTTTGCCAAGCTTCTAATTCTAACGTGAAGCATGTTCAACCATGGTGGGTCCGGCTTGCGTGCTCTGCGGCTCGCAGAAGCAGTCTTGGAGTCTCCAACCGCGAGGAGGAATCGCTTGTTGGTCAGGGATGTGCATGCACACAGTTTGTTTAAGGACAGCTGGGTGAGATCCCTCAAATCTCGGCTGCCTTGCGGAAAGCCGCTGCTTCAGCTACTTGGAGATGCACGAGTGACGCAATCCCTGAAACACTCAATCTTTCTTTGGCTCAGGTCTCAGACAGGTTACAACTCTCAACAGATTTGGCGACTTGGCTTCAGTCTGCCTCTGCATGCTCGTATCTTCGAGCATCAGGCGTGCCCGGACTGTTTGGCTCAAGGCCAAGGCTGTATCTAAGTGCAACGGTAAACCACGGCTTGCCCAACTCTGGAGCATGTCTCATCACGCGATCATAATCGAAGTGCAAGGAGTAGTTTCGCAAGAGTGTAGCCTATAAGCGTTTCCAGGCCCTTGAAGCACGGTCCGCAATGGAAGAAAGGCGTCTCAGCGATGGAATCTGCTGGCCTTGTGCATGCCGCTGAAATCAGTGATCTTGCAATCCGCGCTGTTGCTGCAAACAAGCGTTCCGTGGCAGCCTGAAGGTAGGTGAACATGAGACTTTTTTGGTGGATGGATGACTAAACGTCTTGTTCTTCGAAGGTGCAATCAGTGCCATCATTTCAAGTTATCGCGTTGTTGCTGCAAAGGATACGTTGCCACTTGCGCAGAAGACAACACCGCCCGCCTGTATGACTGGCGTCTCACCTAGACTGTATTCGTTCCATGCAGCTGGGTTGTTGTTACGCAACTCCCTAAGGAAAGGCACACTCGTGCACACCTTTCAGACGGCTCAGAAGACTCGAAATGTGGCCCTGTCTGCGCCATGTCGGAGAATAAGCATATCTGCACGCTAGACCACCTTGTCTTGTTTCAAGGGTGCTAGTCGAGAATTTTCGAGAATCGAGGACAGGTATTTAGCAACTGGCGAGAAAAACGGACAGGGAGAACTTTTTGATCTGAGCAAGCGGCGACTGGACGGCAACCAGTGTCATTAAGCGGAAGTCTTGTTTAGGTTTGCTCGCATGAGAGTAGTGCAGCAAGTTGGCAGTGCTCAGGAATCATGCAGCAACATTCCAATTCCCGGGCAAAGTGTCCATCACCATGTACAACGTGGCAATCACCGCAGAGCACGTTCTCCTTTCGCTCGCTCCTCAGACCAGCCTGGCAACGTGTGCCGTGTCGATGATGGTCTGCGGTGCCTGCGTTCCAGTATGCTCGCATTTTGAATCGTGCTACCGAGCTGGTAGATTCTTGTAGAGTGCTTCTTCTGGATGCCTTCTTTCGGGTTTAGACTTGGAGAGGCACACGCCACACCAGGGAGGGCGCAAGTCCAGCTCCCCCGTGGAAATCTGCTGTGCAGCCAAGTTTCTCGCTTTCGCTTTCCTGAGGTCCTGCCGTGGCTTTGGCGTCAAGACGAATGCTGAGGCGGCAGTGCACCAACCTTCCGAAAGTGCAACTCCAAAGAGCGGCCGCGAGGACCGGAAGCTCCACATTGCCAATCTCTACAGACTGGATGGCACATTGCAACATACCTTGGACCACGGATCCCTGGTCGGTCGTTCCGGCATATGCCGCTTGCCCAGAGAAGTCGGGAACTCCATAATATACATGACTTACATGACATGGCTTCTTGAGACGACGGTGAGAGGCTCCCCAGGCCGCCCAGTAAACCCCAGACGTCGTTTATCTTTACGGGATGCATGCGGGGCGATCCAATCCTCTCAAGGTCTCAATGAAACGAAAGCAGCAACTTCTGGCGAAGATAAAGTGGTCAAGGTATCCAGCTTGCTTTAATCGACTGCTGTGTCAATCTTTGTGGTACCTGTCGGAAGGTCTGGGAACTGTCATCAGGGCAGCTCTTGCACACTATTGCAGCAGACAAGGCGATGCAGCTTGCATGTAGACTCTCGACATTCTACACATTTCTACACTTCTCCCGGATGACAAGAGGAGCGCAGTCCCGGCGTGCGCTTCCTTGATGGCCAGCTGCTCCTGTCAGGCCTGCTGTGCCTGCGTGAAAAGTACAAGCGGAGTTACTTCGGCCACAGAAGCACAGCACTTGTCTTCCTTTTTACAGGCGTTTCCAATGTCGCTATCTACGATTTGAAGATGGGCAATCTGGAGCGTCAGCTCGAGGTGCCTCAAGCTTCTCGGCTCAACGTCCGCGGGCAAACGATTGGGGCTTCTGGGCAAGTGAGCAGACGTCGGCGCAGGGAAGGGTCGATGGTAACAGAGGGATGACAGGGTTCAGGGAGCTCGGTTCAATCAGGCCTTATGACGAGCTCCGTAGGAACAAGTATTCTGCGCAAAGTTGAGGTGGAACGGGGCAGCCTTCGGTCAACTCCACAGACGTATCCACGCCTCGCAGCTACTGGCAATTATGTTGTGTCAGCAAGTGAAGACCGGCATGCAAGCGTTTGGACATTCTCTGATGGAAGACTTCTTTGCACCATCTCGGATGAGCGACGCATATCTGGTGACTTCTACGCGGCCGTTTGCAACGAACGTTTGGCCTTAATTTGTGGGAAAACTCTCAAGATATACGATCTGTCTGTCCATGCTGGCTACAAGCGTGCGGTCTCGGAGGGCCTCGGTGTCTCACTTCGCTTTCTCATCGATCCGGCAGAATTTTCGCACATTGCTCAAGAAGCGGCAGGAAAGGCAGGAGCATGCATGACAGTTCTCAGATGCTTAGAACATAACGAAGCCTTGCAGGCTGCAGACTTCGAAGTTCGAAAGACCTGCCAGGAGAATCCTAACTTCCACGAACTGGCGCCTGTCATCGCCTACGGTCCCACTGCTTTGGGCTCTGGCTCCATCTGTCCTCGCGACGGCCGTCCAGGATGCGCTCTTGTGGCGACCTGTCTCCACAAGAGACTCAAGCTTATCGCTTGTTATGGAGTTGCCGGCACATTGCTTTGTCCTTGCAGAGGATGTGGTGCCGTCCGGACCAGCGACGCATTTTCTGTCCTGGGCTTGGTCCTATCAGCTGCAAACGGTCGTGCTGGCGCTGCGGCACTGGTGTGAGGACGTTTGCATCCTGCGAGATCTTGCGAGCGCGAAGCGACTCTGATTTGAGCATTGCTTTGCTGGAAGGACGCTGGCAATGAAGTCAATTCTGATCAGTGCTTCGGCCGAGAGATCTCAAAACCTCTGTCATGGGCGGTTTTCCGCTTGCTTCACGCGGCTTTTGTGATGTCAACTGAGTCAAAGCATGGATCCCATACCACAGCCTTTCCTTCCGACGATTGACCTGCTGAAGCGAGCGTTTTTCCCCGGAAGCTTTTGTAATTTGTAATGGTGAATCATCTACTCATCTGAGCGTGCTGACTGACTGCATCAGAGCACAAGTTCGCTGGAGATTGATTGGGCCGAATAGTGCATAATATTTAGATAGCAGTTGGGTTCGGTCTCGGAATTGTGTTGTGACGTTAGTTTCCAAAGTCTGGCGTGTTCAGTCAGGACATTCGTCTGGATCTGCTTCTTTTGCAACAATCAAGAACGGATCCTCAACGAGAAGTCCAAGGAGGGCTCGGATGACCTGGAGACCACATTCCAGTCTCGTCTGCGATCTATTGGGCACGTTCTCGTCTTGTTCGACAACTGGAGCAAGCCCTTCTACCTGATGCCTGAAGTCAATTCAGCCTTTACTATCGTGCTTTTGCTTGAACCTTGCGGAAACTGCAGAAGCCTGAAGAAACGAGTACTGCATTGTTGGGGTGCTTTCCTAGCGACATTCGACATTTCGGGCTTCAAGGACGCGGGTCTGGTGCATCTTCGAGACTTTCGTTGCAGCCGCGAGCTTTGTTCTCACGTCACGTCGCATACCGTGACATGCTGCTGGCCTTAAGGCGAAATCGGATATTTCTTACACATTGATATTTCCTCCGGATTCTGCCGAAAGCATGCACGGGGCCTTGCAGCGTGGGATGCACATGGAAGTTACCAAAGACTGGAGCAGCATCTTGTCTTCATCTCCGGGTGGGAGCAATGTACTATGTACAGAGCTCTAACTGTTATTCACGTTCACTAGGATCCGACTTGCGAGGCATAGACGTGGCACATGCCACAGCCAGTCGCCCCGTGGATGAAGAGAAGGTGAAAGGCATGATCTCTCGCACCTCTTCGTTCGACGAGGTGAACAGTGTTCCTTAGCGAAAAACGTGAGAGGGTCTGTTTGTCACAGGCAGACCATGCAGACGAAAAGCTTTCGACTGCTTCTTGGCCGAGGTTGTCAAGGACCATCTGGTAAATTGGCAGCTTGGTGCATATGTGCAAAGCCTTTTGCTTGCCGATAGTGTTTAACGTGCATCGTGAGATCGCAGTTTTTGTATTACATTGTCCATGTGGTCCTTTGGTTGGCGAGCCTTGCGACATGACTCGACGGATGCACCGATGCAGCGGTCCAAGCATCTCTTTCAATGCTAGCTGCTAGGTTCAAGAAGCAGTTCCAGGCTCGGAGCCAGGGTGGTGGGGTTCGAGAGGAGTCGAGTAGAGTTGCCTCTTCTGTGATGCGACTTGCTAGGCTGTGTTTGAGCGCGGCGTGCGAGACGGCCCGGGGCCGCCTCAGCTTCGGACCAGCTGCGAAGCTTCGAAGGACATGCCAGATCCGAGTGGCAAAGCATGAGAGAAGAGGAAGTCCTCTTTTGGAATCTGGAGAGTTAGGTGTGTGACTTGGGACAGGATGAACTTGCCCAGGCGCTGGAGGACCGGCTGCTGCTCCGTTGCCGTACAGTTCAGGCTTCTTAGTGTGCACTGTCCAGGAGCGCGATGCAGAGATCGTGCGGCTGACCGCGGCATGTGCTTCAAAGGACACGTGCTATGCCAGTGAGTGGTTGGTAAGAGCTGTTGTTTGGTGAGTTTTGGTGCAATCTGGCTTCGCGGCTGTTGTTGCTGGCTGTTTGGGCATTCGTCCCTCGTTTTGTTCTCTTTCGTGGCTTCTTTCCTCGGCGGTTCCTTGTCTAGCTTGCTGTCGGCTTTGCGGCTTCATGAAAGTCCCACCGCGAGCCCGACGCGGAGACGAACATGTCAGTTCCGAGGAAGAGGAATCGGGGCCGGTTCCCGAAACCATAATGTCTTTGGGCTTTTCGCTGGGGTTCTGGAGCGCACCGCGACGCCTTTGTTTTTGTGGTTGGAACGGCAAGCCAGCTAAACATCCTAGCCTAATAATCGTTTCTTACTGCCGAACAGAACATGCTGTAGAATCTGTAGAAACTTGCGCAAACAGCCCGTTCGTAACCCCCCACAACCCGAATCACACGCTGCGACCCTGGCGTAACTATCCTCCGGGGCTCTCTGGAGGGGTTGAGCTCGCCTCGCACTCGCCCACGCTGAACAACACTGTGGCGAAAGTGGTGGTCGGCAGCCTCCGCCTGGACGGTCGAATGCCTTTCTTACGGCAAGAACTAGCCTCTTTGTTTTTGTCGGTCTTGGCCCTCCGCACCTCACAACCAGTTGCCTTTCCCGTCCCAGCCAAGCATCTTGCTTCCAACTGCCCCACTTGTCCCTGCCTTTGCCGCTGGGCCGCTCGGCTTGCCATCCTTTCTCTTCCCAGAACGACTTGGTAATTTTTGATCGTGCCATGTGTCATGCGCTGCTCATGCAAACCACTGCCTTTGAAAGGTCCATGAGGTCAGCTGCCGAGCGGAATCGCTCCGTCGGCTCTCCTTCTTCAGCACACGCAATGCCTCGACGCCCCTCCTTCTCACGCCCCGTGACACCGTGATGCAAGAACAGGCTAAGTCCTTTCATCATCTTCCACCCGGAGTCAACATCCATCTGCTCCAGCAGCTGAAGGGAAAGCACCATTCCTGCAATATGGCCATGCTTTCGACATCGACTTATCATTCAGCCGCCTCAGCGGCTTGCTCCCAAAGGCCCTGCATCACAATTTGCATCAATTCGCTCCTGAGCCGTTTGGCCCGCCACAGCTCCCAGTTGCTGCATTCTGGAAGTTTGCTGCACACAGAAATGACGACCTCCAGGGCTTAGTAAAACTCGATTTCGATCCGGGTGGCTGTCGTATTGTAAAGGGAGGCTGGCCGGTTGAATTCACAACTGTGACGCAATGTATCGAGTGTAATTGCGGGGTTCAAGGAGCCTCGTCATTTGTTGAATGTAAAGAGCTCTGAGACACCTCCCGCACTGCTCGCCCCTTTCATGCACATGTTTTCTGTGAGCATTCGAGGGCTTCGAAAATGCCAACCCTACAGTGCCTTTGCTGAACATCCGGGGGCACATGATCCTGTACTGTCTTGGATTCATAGCATCGTGCGGCACTGCGGCGACAGGCCGATGGCGAACTATGCAAAGTTGCCTCACCCGTTGGCTGGACCAGCTCGTTTTCGAGACAATGCCGAGGAAGCCCTGAATTGTCGAAGGGTGTGGCCGTGCCACAACATTGAAAATCTCGAGAAGCTTGCGACGTATTCGGCGTCCGGGACTCTCGGAAGACCGTGATTTTGCTCCAAGAAGCTTCCGACATCCGTGCTTTTTGCCACATCTGGAACCCGCAGAACTAAACCAACGAGCAGAAACGACAAATAGAATCCACCCGAAAATGGTCGCTTGAAGGAGAGGAGGGAGTCTCTGTCCTCTTCGCATCTGAGCGATCCGGCATGTGATTTGGGCAGGATGAAGAACTTATCCAGGTAAGGAAGGCGCTGGAGGACCGGCTGCTGCTCCTACTTGGTTCTCCTTGCCGTAGCTTTTGTTCTGCAACAAGGGCAACAAGGCTCCTTGAGCGAAGCTGCTCAGTTTACACTGTCCAGGAGCGCGATGCAGAGATCGTGCGTCTGACCGCTCTGCTGCCGGCTGGCAGCGCTGCCAGGGCGGCCAAGTCAGACATACTCGACGGTGGCACTTCCGAGGTCCCGCCAGTGTTGCAATTCTTGCCTGTAGAGTCACACCTCCAGCAAGACAGGTTCCGGCCAGATGAGACGACAGTCCGGCTTAGAGAACACGTCCAAAAGGATGCTGTTATGCTCGAGTTGACCTCCGTGAGAGTCTGCCTTGCAGCTCCACCTGCTACCTGCAGTATAAGCACGTAGAAGCTGTTTCATTGTCGTCCCTATAGCCGCGTTTGTAGATGGCTGTTAATGTCCGCTGCGTGGCCACTGGACCAAAGGTCAGAACGGCCACGTCCGCCGTAAATGCACCTGCCGCAGGTATCTTTCGTGCGGCGAGATTAAAGACATTCCTTGTGCTCTTGCTGCTTCCGGAATCGGCCCGAGACCGAGACAGATCAGTAGTTGCTGTGCAGCGCTTCAGGTAGACAGCTTGGCGATTTCCCTGGCAGCGATGACGTGGGCCGAGATTTCCGTTGATGGCAAGCCTTGCGCCTTGCTTGCTTGGGCAAGTTGTCACAAAACGTGTCAAGTTACAAGCAGCCTGATCCCCCATCAGACACTTGTAGACATGCAGATCCCGCCTGGACGAGCTACTTGCAAATGAATCGTGTCATCTCACGTCGATCACCTTCCTGCTGCTGCTGCTGCGACTTTTAGAATTCAGAAGCTCGGGACCGCGGCTCGATGCTGCATGTACGGGTTTGCAGACGAAGGCGATCATACAATGGCGGAGATCTTGGAGCCCTCACTACAGGCCGGAAAGCGCATGTGCAACAAGTTCTAACGGAAGAAAACGCATGGCAGGAGGCTTTCCACGACTGTGGCGATTGGCCTGCAAGTGAGGCAGCTGCCCAGCACATGTATGCTCTTAGTGGCTTAGTGGGTTTGAATGTCATGTTGTTGTCATGTCTTCATGCGCGCAGGACACGGAAAGAGCAAGGTTGCCTCTGGGTTGCAGTTTTTCTTGTGGCCAGCTGGCCGAGCTATCCTTGTGGAGTTTTCTGTTTCAAGGATGGCGGCAGCCCTTCTGAAGCAGCTTTTGGACGACTAAGCCTTGTGGCGGAGGAGGACCGGGTACCGCAAGGTCCCAGCAGGGCACGTGGCACGGGTCTGCCTTGGTCTTCTGGACTTCCTGGCTTCTTCCGTTCTCGACAGACTCTGCGAGCTGCAAAACTATTCGAGGCAAGTTGTTTCGCTGTCAGGGTGATAACGATGTGCGGTGTTCTCATGCGCCCGTACTCGTAGAATGCTTTGCTGGTGAAGTACTTGGTCTGCAGTTTTCGTGGGCCCGTGAGCAAGCATCACGTAGCTTTTCTTCCCTGCCGTGATCTGGGACCATGGCCGTAAACTGGGGTTTCGCACCCATCCACTCCTTTATAGGGTTCAGCATTTCGCACCCACCAATTCCTTTTAGGATATGAGGGATTCGGTTCGTCGCCACTCGCTCCGGTCAGGGTTCATCTCTTCACGCCCACCCACTCCTTTTAAGGTTCAGGGTTTCGCACCTACCCACTCCTTTTAGGGTTTTGGGGTTTCGCACCCACCCATGCACTTTTAGGGTTCAGGGTTTCGCAACCACCCACTCCTTTTAAGCTTCAGGGTTTCGCACCCACCCATGCACTCCTTTTAGGGTTTGGGGCTTCGCACTCACCCACTCCTTTTAGGGTTTGGGTTTTAGGGTTCAGAATTTCGCACCCACTCCCTTTAGGGTCTGAGGATTTCGTAGCCACTCACGCTTCGGGTTTCGCAACCACCCACTTTCTTGAGGGTTTGGGGTTTCTCACCCACCCACTCCTTCTCAGGTTCAAGGTCTATATCCACTTTTAGGGTTCAGGGTTTCGCACCCACCCACTAATTTAGGGTTTGGGGTTTCGCACCCACCCACTCCTTTTAGGGTTTTGGGGTTTCGCAACCACCCACTCCTTTTAAGCTTCAGGGTTTCGCACCCACCCATGCACTCCTTTTAGGGTTTGGGGTTTCGCACTCACCCACTCCTTTCAGGGTTTGGGGTTTTAGTGTTTAGGATTTCGCACCCACTCCGTTTAGGGTCTGAGGATTTCGTAGCCACTCACGCTTCGGGTTTCGCACCCACCCACTTTCTTGAGGGTTTGGGGTTTTGCACCCACCCACTCCTTCTCGGGTTCAAGGTTTATATCAACTTTTAGGGTTCAGGGTTTCGCACCCACCCAATAATTTAGGGTTTGGGGTTTCGCACCCCCACTCCTTTTAGGGTTTTGGGGTTTCGCAACCACCCACTCCTTTTAAGCTTCAGGGTTTCGCACCCACCCATGCACTCCTTTTAGGGTTTGGGGTTTCGCACTCACCCACTCCTTTTAGGGTTTGGGGTTTTAGGGTTCAGGATTTTGAACCCACTCCGTTTAGGGTTTGAGGATTTCGTAGCCACTCACGCTTCGGGTTTCGCACCCACCCACTTTCTTGAGGGTTTGGGGTTTCGCACCCACCCACTCCTTCTCGGGCTCAAGGTTTATATCCACTTTTAGGGTTCAGGGTTTCGCACCCACCCACTAATTTAGGGTTTGGGACCCACCCACTCCTTTTGGGTTTGGGGTTGTATTTGGGGTCTGAGGGTTTCGTAGCCGCTGACCCCTTTTTGCGGTTCCGGGTTTCGCGTCCACCCATGCACTTCTCTTAGGGTTTGGGGCTTCGCAGCCACTCATTTCTTTTAGGGGTTCAGGGTTTCGCGCTGCTTGTAGGGTTTGGGGCCGCGGCCCGCGGCGGCCCCTGTGACCTGCGGCTTGCGGCCCGCGGCCACCTCAAAACAAAAACCTTTACCCCTTTATGTTGGGCGTAGAATGGCGTTTTAAAGTTTTACATCCCTCGGCCTGTGGGGTAAAGGTTATTTTCTTGGGTGGCGCCGAGCCGTGGAACTTGAGCGCTGAGGGGGTCTCCGATAGCACCCTGGTGTTCAGCAACAAGTCGGGATGGCAACAAGTGGAAGAAGCTCATTTCCTACAACACTGGCAGCGGCCAGGGATTCAAAAAGCCACTCGACGCCCAACATAAAAAGTCAAAGTAAGCCTTTTCTAAGAGGGCCGACGCCTTTCAATGCTTGGAGTCTGCAAGCCATGCAGACCGAGAAAAGCAGACTATTCATGATCTGAATTCCTTCTGCCCACTCGCCCCAGCTTGAATGTCCGCTTGTTGCTTTCTTCTCTCCCGCAGCATGCCTTGACAGGTGGACGACTGTCTGGAGGCAATCATGCACTGATGGTGGCACAGAGAGTGCCCGATGACTCGGAAGGCCGTCTTTCCCGCACCTGAATCCGGCATAGAAAAAGGAATCTGTGCCAAGATTGCACCTCTCGCATCTGGCAGAGCCCGACCCACGAAATGCCTGGGCGAACGCCTGTATGCACGACAACTTGCAGTTTCTAAGCCTCAAGTCCAGAGCGACAATTGCTGTGCTCATCATGGTGTCTTGGCTGGTTCAGCTAGTTGTGATAAACCGATTGTCACGCTTCCGCGGATGTCTGCTTACAAAGCTCCGGCACGTTTCGTGCTTTTCAAGCCGCTGTGATCTGCCGAGGCCAGACAGTCCATGCGCAAGTCGCGACCTGTTGCAGCGGCTGTTGCCGCTGCTCTTGGTGCCTGCTACCTGACCACTGCCTTCGCCGCATGCCTCAACAGATCCAGGGTTCGAGGGCTGTAGATTCTCTACAGTAGTGGTGTTCTGCCGAATCAGTCGAGTTTGGGGAAGGTGATGCCGCCGGCAGAAGAAGGCGCCAAGCTGTGTCGTCGAGTGTGGAGATGTTGCAGTGTCACGGATGCTTCGAAGCCATTGTGTGCCAGGCCGCGCGGCAGCGGGGCGGCGCGAGGCCTTGCTGGGCCTGGCAGGCGCAGCCGCGACCCTGTCCTCGGCGCCGGCGCAAGCATTCGAGGGAGCAGGCCAATGGATGGGCTACTACGCTGACCCTCAGCACCCAATGTGCCCACGAAAGATCGTCTACGAGTATGACCTCTACGACAAGGCGCAGATGATGGTGGATGGAGGCGACGGCAACCCTGGGTGCGAGAAGAAGGTGCTCACGAGGTGGACGGCCAAGGTTGACTGGAAGGCAGGCTCAGACGAGATTACCATCGACTTCAGCAAGAAGGGCGGACCTGCTGGCGTTGTCGGAAAGTGGGACACGGACGGAATCGTCTTCCCGGACGGCAACAAGTGGAAGAAGATCATTTCCTACAACACTGGCAACGGCCAGGGGATCTGAGTCGCAGCATCTGTGCCTCTGTCTCTGAGGTTTTTTCTGTAGCGCAGAGGACACGTCCCACAGTGTCCCCGCTGGAGAAATAGTCATGATGACCTTGGAGTTTCTGCTCACATCTCTTAGCAACTTAACGGTCTGGGTATGTCTGCGTCGTTACAATTGGCAAAGGCGACTGAGCCTTGTCAAGAACCAGCCCTTTCGGGCAACCTCTTGGATCAATCATGGGTGCACATAGAGCATGCTGCACATGAGCAGATACGAGTCTTTCTGGAGTACCGACTTTTATACCAGCCACAATTCACACGATGATATTCAGCCCGATAGAGTTTTGCAATCAGCCTACCGTGTGACAGTTTTAACAGACAGGTTTCTTAAGCAGCTTGATCCGTACCTAGTCATAAGAATGGTAGAGACAGCCTTTCTCGCTTTGGCCTCAGACCGATGTCAACATTTCGAGGAGGTCTGCTGTGATGTTGACAGCTGCTCTACAGCTGAAGGCGCCAGGTCTGTACCTGAATTCCTTCTGCCCACTCGCCCCAGCTTGAATGTCCTCTTGTTGCTTTCTTCTCTCCCGCAGCATGCCTTGACAGGTGGACGACTGTCTGGAGGCAATCATGCCCTGATGGTGGCACAGAGAGTGCCCGATGACTCGGAAGGCCGTCTTTCCCGCACCTGAATCCGGCATAGAAAAAGGAATCTGTGCCAAGATTGCACCTCTCGCATCTGGCAGAGCCCGACCCACGAAATGCCTGGGCGAACGCCTGTATGCACGACAACTTGCAGTTTCTAAGCCTCAAGTCCAGAGCGACAATTGCTGTGCTCATCATGGTGTCTTGGCTGGTTCAGCTAGTTGTGATAAACCGATTGTCACGCTTCCGCGGATGTCTGCTTACAAAGCTCCGGCACGTTTCGTTCTTTTCAAGCCGCTGTGATCTGCCGAGGCCAGACAGTCCATGCGCAAGTCGCGACCTGTTGCAGCGGCTGTTGCCGCTGCTCTTGGTGCCTGCTACCTGACCACTGCCTTCGCCGCATGCCTCAACAGATCCAGGGTTCGAGGGCTGTAGATTCTCTACAGTAGTGGTGTTCTGCCGAATCAGTCGAGTTTGGGGAAGGTGATGCCGCCGGCAGAAGAAGGCGCCAAGCTGTGTCGTCGAGTGTGGAGATGTTGCAGTGTCACGGATGCTTCGAAGCCATTGTGTGCCAGGCCGCGCGGCAGCGGGGCGGCGCGAGGCCTTGCTGGGCCTGGCAGGCGTAGCCGCGACCCTGTCCTCGGCGCCGGCGCAAGCATTCGAGGGAGCAGGCCAATGGATGGGCTACTACGCTGACCCTCAGCACCCAATGTGCCCACGAAAGATCGTCTACGAGTATGACCTCTACGACAAGGCGCAGATGATGGTGGATGGAGGCGACGGCAACCCTGGGTGCGAGAAGAAGGTGCTCACGAGGTGGACGGCCAAGGTTGACTGGAAGGCAGGCTCAGACGAGATTACCATCGACTTCAGCAAGAAGGGCGGACCTGCTGGCGTTGTCGGAAAGTGGGACACGGACGGAATCGTCTTCCCGGACGGCAACAAGTGGAAGAAGATCATTTCCTACAACACTGGCAACGGCCAGGGGATCTGAGTCGCAGCATCTGTGCCTCTGTCTCTGAGGTTTTTTCTGTAGCGCAGAGGACACGTCCCACAGTGTCCCCGCTGGAGAAATAGTCATGATGACCTTGGAGTTTCTGCTCACATCTCTTAGCAACTTAACGGTCTGGGTATGTCTGCGTCGTTACAATTGGCAAAGGCGACTGAGCCTTGTCAAGAACCAGCCCTTTCGGGCAACCTCTTGGATCAATCATGGGTGCACATAGAGCATGCTGCACATGAGCAGATACGAGTCTTTCTGGAGTACCGACTTTTATACCAGCCACAATTCACACGATGATATTCAGCCCGATAGAGTTTTCCAATCAGCCTACCGTGTGACAGTTTTAAAAGACAGGTTTCTTAAGCAGCTTGATCCGTACCTGGTCATAAGAATGGTGGAGGCAGCCTTTCTCGCTTTGGCCTCAGACCGATGTCAACATTTCGAAGAGGTCTGCTGTGATGTTGACAGCTGCTCTACAGCTGAAGGCGCCAGGTCTGTACCCGTCCAGGGAAGCGCTTCCTCTGAGGCTTGGGGCTCACACAGTCCCTTGCTGTCGATGCCGGATTCTTGAATGCACTCCGCATGGTGTAAGTATTCGCCGGTTGCATCTCCGAGCAGTGTTGCGCTATGAGAAAACTGCATGAAGTCACCAGCAACACTGCAGCGACGGTCCGATGGTACCGGCCATTGGCGAAAGCTTTTGCAGTCTATCCCCAAAGAAGCTATACGTCCACTTGGCTCCATGGAAGCGTTCCTGCCAAGAAGCTGGACATGTTCATAGACTGCCATTGTCATCTGACCTCCGAACGGTTCCAAGATGACTTGGAGGCGATCTGATCAAACTGGCGCAGGGCGTAGACCAGTAGAGCATAGACACCTTTGCTTGAAGGACGTTCTGGCAAGAGCACGAAGGGCTGGAGTTCAAGGCTGGTCCGGCCTTAAGACTTCAGGACCATGTCTCGTCACAGTCTTCGGCTTGCTTCCTGAGCATGTTCTGTTACAGGCATTCTCGTGTGCTCCACTTCACCGTCGGACATGCTGCGAGTTATCCAGCTGCGAGAAGATCACCCTCAAGAGATCTATGCCTGTTTGGGCGTCCACCCTCTGGATGAGAGCGACTGGGCAGAGTTTGGGAGGGCTTCGCAGAACTTCTCGGAAACATGCTGGCCGTTTCCGGTTTTTCGTTCTACAGGCTGCGACATGCAAGCTTGGCATGTGGCGCGTGCCCCGGACAGCAAAGCTAGCACGAAGTCACAAAAACGACACAAGCCACCTTGCTAGGAGAGATGATCATGTCGGAGCATCGGCAGCGCGGTCTTGCAGCTCTAGGAGAGCTACTCGACAGGGAGCACGAACCTGCGCAGCTAGGAAGATTTGCTCAGCTTTGTCCTCGTCCCAGTCTGTTGTTCGTCGGCCCGTGTCAGAGCCTGCTAGCATTTTTTCTCGCCGTGACAGAGGATTGGCTTGGACTTCTCGCGCCCTCTGCTCAAGCAAAAAGCAGCTGCGAGAGGCTGCAAAGAGGCCCTCGGCACTGTTCTGTGTGCGAGCGAAGCTTGAAACCTACAGGGTCAGAGTCGCGAAGGCAGATGTTCGTGCCGGACAGATCAGCCTCTTCAAGGTGGGACCGGAACGCAAGAAGAAGCTCTGTGACAATCACTCAAAATACTCATAGGCACACCTCGACTTGGCTCGGGAGCTGGATCTGCCTGTGAACGTTTCTCGGAGCAGATGACAGAAAAATAGCACAAGCTGAAGGCCATTCAGCGCCCTTGAGCACCTGAGGTGCACTCGCGCAACGCAGAGAAGGAAGCGCTCGACATTCTTGCTCGTTATGATGATGTACGAGGAGCGTCGTGGTGGCAAGAATCTGGCTTTCCGAATGACAAATTCCCGAATCCTAAAAATGCTTCACACGCAGTGTACCTCCAAGCCTTCATGCCTGCTACGCGTGTTAGAGAGCCCTTAAGGGCCTCCGAATTAGGTTTAGATTCTCGCATGTCCGTGTTGGCTCGGAAATAGCTGCTGTCTGCATCATTTGCTCCGAAGTTGACTGGAACGAGCAAGGCATGTGGCACCAAGGTCATGCACGCATTTAAGGGGCCTGCGGCTTTGGCGGTCCAAGCCACCAAGACCGGGCGGTTGTGGTTTTCCTTTCCGCCCTCTCTGGTCTACAAGTGGGAGTACCAGGCTACGGGGCTACGGCAGCAGGCGCCTTGAGGACGCAGGCAGTGTGTCCGTGGTCCCTGGAGGAAGCCGTGAAAGCTTTGCCCTTGGAGCGTCTCCTCCTGGAGACCGACAGCCCAAGCCTTGCCGCTGCGGGGCCGAAGGCTTCGTGACGGAAAGTGCTCGCTCTCCTGCCGGCGTCCAGCGTACTCGATTTTGCAGGCCCGAAACGAGCCGGGTTTGATTCGAGCTGCCGCAGAGAAGATGGCAGAGCTCCAGGGCGTGACTCTTGAGGAGGCCACCTGCTGGTGACTTCAACTGGATTGAGTTTCCCATTCATGTCCTGTTCTCAGGTGGCGGCAGTGACCACGCAGAATGCTGTGCACCTCTTTGGCAAAGCTTCGCCTGGTCTTCAGGAGGGGCTAGCAAAAGCTTGGTCTGGTCATGGCATATCTCGGCTCATGTGCTTTTCCACATGGCATGAACACTTCACCACGGAGGCACGCACAGTGCCGGGGACATCCGGTACTTCGAGTGGGAAAGCTGCACGGTGGCGAAGGGATGCCAAGGTTCGGGAGGTACCTATAGCTCAGTTTGGCAATCTGCAGCTTGATTGCCGTGCTACCATTGCTCGTGGACCTTCCAGTTGCAGGACCATGTCCAAATTGCAGCAGATCCTCCTGAACCTGGTCATGTCCCATGCGAACCTCAAGCTGTACAGCAATTCTTAGTCATTGGTGTTCTGCGATGTTCTGCGAGCAGCCGGAATGTCTTGCATTACCTGTTGCATTGTCCGTGTCAGATCTTGTCAGGATCTGTCGAGGCAGCGTTGGTCGCGCCGAAGTCGAGGTGCACAGGCTTGCACGATGGACCCTACGCTTTGCTCCTCTGCCTTCGGCCCGTTGCATTGTGATTGAAGTGGCACGGTCGGAGATGTGCGGACGGTGACCATGAGATGACGGACATGCTGGGCACTGTTGCGTACGCGGCCACGGCGTCCTTACCTGGTTCCCGACATTCAACATCATGGCAGTGATCCTCAACCGGCAGAACCATTCGGCGAGCGGAGTCTGCTTAACGCGATGCCTGGGCCGCCAGTCAAATCAAACAGGCTGCTTGACCGCCACGACATGAACGACCTGAGCGGCAGTGCCGAAGTCTTCGCTTTCACCCCGAAGGTCCATAATTTGACCCGGCCGCGATGCAAGGAAGAGTCATCAACAACTTGCTGCTGCGTTAAATAACAGCTTCACTGCGGAAGAGAGAGCTTGCTGTCTAGTCAGCTTCGCAAGGCAGTTTGCAGCACCTCGTTCTGCGCCACAGTCCGTGAGTCCCTGAGATGCGAGGAAGGAGACCGTTCAAGAATACATGAAGCTCAGGCAAAGACAGGACGATGGCAGCAGGGTGCCATGGTGACCACCCTCTCGCTGGCGTTAGTCCAGAAGGTGGGAGAGAAGCGATGAGGTAGCCAAAAGAGCACAGCAAGAGGGCAGGAACACATCAGCAACAACGTTGGAAGCTTAGCAACCATCGACCGAAATGCCTACAGAAAGAAAAAACACACACAAACAAGCAACTGGCTGGAGTGAGCAAACAATACGCAACGAGTGATGAAGGGACAGAAGTCGAGCGAGAGAGAGAGAGAGAGAGAGGCCGTAGCCATTTTGGCTCAAGCCGCAGGTTCGCAGCTTCCGCCCCAGGTGAGCCTCGCGAAGTCCAAACCTGAAATCGGCACCGTTTCTTTGAAGTGGGTGCCCCGAAAGTAGGGGGAGGCACATGCCACGTGTCTGTGGAACTCCTGGTGCACCTTCTGAACCAGGACATATCGTGGACGTGCAAGCGAGGGACCTAGTGCAGACGCAGTCCCAGCAGTAGCAGCTCAACAGCGACACCAAAGAGACGCTAACCGAGAACCCCACTGGGCGGAGGACACCATGAAACCAATGATCGTGACAGTGGCAGGGAGACCGAGAATGAGATCATCAGATAGTGGGCGGGCCCATGGAGACACAAGGGAAGTTGAACCACCAACTCAGGTGCCCACTTGGCCAAAGAGCGACCCAGGGTGCCAGAGCAAAAGAGACCTTTTCGACGAAGGCTCGCACAGCAAGGGTTGCGAATGGTAGGACAAGGGGCACAAGACTACGAGCGGACGCCAGATCTACTGAGGGGCCGGACCGCAGTAGGTGAAGGCTCGGAAAGTGTGAAAAGGCACGTGTGACAACAGTAAAAGAACCCTTATTCCGAGAACCCACCTTCTACAGTGACTCACTGATGGCCTTAGGCCACACAGACATAGTATCCGAGTGCCAGCCATGATAGCAAACCTGAATTTGCTGACTCGGGCTTGCATTTGCTTCACTATTACTCAATGTGGCGTGCCCTAACCATCATAAGAGTGGAGGGCCGATAATGCAGGCAGGCTTTTGCATGCGGCGTTAGGGGTGACCGCAGGGTTTTTGCAGGTTTCTGCGTGTTTTCAAGCTTCTGGGGGTGGGGGGGCGGGGGTTGGGGGAGGGGCTTAACGACGAACCTGTTCTACTCTTAGCAGTTCTACTACTGCTGATGCCTGCTGCCCTTTAGTGCTTTATGTTCAGACTAGCTCTCCTACTGCTGATGCCTGCTGCCCTTGAGTGCTTTATGTTCAGACTAGCTCTCCTACTGCTGATGCCTGCTGCCCTTTAGTGCTTTATGTTCAGACTAGCTCTACTACTGCTGATGCCTGCTGCCCTTTAGTGCTTGCTTCGGGGTGTGCGGGTGGGGGGGGTGGGGGGGTTGGGGGGGGCTTAATGACTACCCTGTTCTACTCTTAGCAGTTCTACTACTGCTGATGCCTGCTGCCCTTTAGTGCTTTATGTTCAGACTAGCTCTCCTACTGCTGATGCCTCTGTTGCCCTAGGAGCAAAGCGAGCAAAGCACGGTAAGCAAGTCTCCTAGAATTGCGTGAAGCCCTGAAGCTCGTAACAACAACCACAGACTTCTGCGAAGCCTGCAAGCTCAAAACAACAAGAAGAAAAGCATCAACAACAACAACAACAAGAAGAACGAACGACCACCACCACCACCAGCACCACTACCACAACCACCAGCACCACCATCACCACCTGCACCACTACCACAACCACCAGCAGCACCACCACCACCACCGCCACCACCACCACAACAACAACAGGACAAAACACAAAAAAACAGCCTGATAAAGTTTTCACTTCAAGGTGCTCGAACAGTGTGTTGCGAAAATGCCACGCCAGCCAGTGTGTTCTACACATTAGTCTTCAAAGTCGTGGAAAAAACGACACTTTTGACTAGTGGCTCCGCACACTTCCACACAGAAATGCGCAAAAATGCCGGAAAAAAAACAACATTTCCCTAAACACGGTGCAAACCCTCAATGCGCTGTCGCCGCGCGGTCGCGGTTGACGCCGCAACCAGGCTTTTCCCCCTGGCTGAAGCTTTTGTGACCCTTTGAGCGAGGACTAGGACCCGATGTCAGAGAGCACCAAACTCCACGTACAGCCTGGGCAACAGCTCCTTTCCTACAGCTGTGCCCATCTGTCCACATGATGGATGGGGTTGCGCTGAAGCGCGAGTCAAGGGGGCTGCCCTTGGCTCATGCCCCAGAGCAAAGCAAAGCAAAGAGAGAGGGCACTCAATAACGACATTGCGTGGTCGGGCAGGCCCATGGCCTGAGGGTCACGACGGAAGAAGAGCGAGAGAGAGAATGAAAGACTACATCAACATCTGCCAACTTCGGGGGGAACATCTATCGTAGTGTCGCGCCCCTTCAGAAGCTTCATAACAGATCAGATGGGGCGCCCATGAGGCCAAGGAGCCTAAACAGCCCCTTATTATGCCTTGCCGAAGAGCAGAGAGAGAGAAACAGAGGACACCTCTTCACCCTAGGTCCTATGGGGCTTCAAGGACAAAGCCAGCTGGTTGCAGTGTCTTCACATGTCTGACGCCGACTAAGCAGAAGGCGGACTGCAGGCGTAGCGCATCTGCGCAGGGTGCTCACTCACTGAGTCAGATTAAAAGTCAGATTCTAGTTCAGATTCCGGTTCAGATTGTTTGATAAAAGCTCCCTGCTCAGATTCCGGGACAGATGGCGGTACAGATTCTTGAGAAACAGACGATTTCATAGAATCGCGATTACCAGGCAATCAGCCTTACAACGCTAAGGAGATAGAGAGAGAGAGAGATCTGGGGCACGGAAAATCTGTTCGGGCTGCGTGTTCCTGCATTTTCCTGAATTCTGCTTCAAGAAGCACAAGAGCAGAATACAGAGCCAAACGGGAGCCAGATAGACGGAGAGATATTGACATAGAATAGAGAAGAAGGAGCAACGACGGAGCGATGTAAAGCAGGCTGACCAGGCCCTTGTGATGGGTTTATGCCTGGTTGTCCGGGACCCGTACGATTGCTCCACACAGGGCATGGGTAAACTGACATGGGAGAACAGGACCCCTTTGGTGCTTGCGGTTTTGCATGTTATAAAGCACATACGGAAGCAGTTTGAAGTGCAGAGATTAGAGTTGTAAGTTGTGGGGCATCACCCGGCATGAAGTGATGTTAATTTCGCGGTCCGGGAAGCGCAGAAGGGCTACGATTGAGACTGGCGCGGTGTGTACTTCAGTCTATTTGCCCAACATTGGCAGAGTGCTGCTACGGCACCAGCTTCTCCGACAGTGGCCAATACCAGATTCTAGGCCAGTGTTTTCCTAGGAAAGCGGCGGAAACAGAAGACAGAAAGTGGCTCGACGACGACCACTTCCGTCAACTCCTCAAACGGAGAGTAGGCCGAAGCAATCCGGAAGCAATCCAGCAATGAGATCGGATGTGCCGAAAGGTGCAGAATGCCGGTAGTTCCGAAAGCTTCATGCTTGTAGCTCTGCCGAGTGTTCGGGCAACTGCATGCAGCAAGTCTAACTGCACGCAGGTTTTCAAAGCCGTGCATCCGGAAACGGAATCCGACAAGTTAACGATGAAATTAGGTAACTAGGGATTCGGCTTGCGGCTCGGTGCACATGCAGCGACAAAGCGAGCCGCCAGCTCCTCTGTAAGACCAGTTGTAATTCGCCAGTGCCTGCATGACAAAAAGCACCTCTTCCTCGGATGCTTGGTGCACGCCCCTCATGGAACCTGTCTTGGTTCACCAATGCGCTGCATGTTGGTTCCATGTCTCCTTGCACATCTGGTGGATCTGGCTTGACGATGGTTTGCATCTTCTTCCTTGAATTGAAATCCCTCCTTTTCTTTGTGACAAGCGCCGGATCAGAGAAATTCTGCTCGGGAGGCAAAGGGTCGAAGACGACATGTGCTCGAAGCTGGTCCCAGGCCTGGTTCCACCCGGCTGATATAGCATAAGGGTGATGTGTTGATCAACTCGCTCCCTTTCTGAGACTTCGCGAGGTTTGCACCCGAGCCGCCACCCAAGGCAGCCGTAAGGGACGAGCTGAGGATGTCCAGATTTTGCAAAATGTAACGAGCAGCCGCAGGACGGTGATATGGTTATAACTGGTGGGCCGAAGCAGCTGGCGCGGAGGAAAGTTCCCCGCTGGGTGGGCATCTCAGCTCGGTGTCACGTCTTGTCAGGCTGGGAAATGTGCTTGGCTCAGGCGCCGGATGGAGGTTCTGATCCGCTGGTTGCAGACAGAGGCCGCCACAAACTTGTGCCATGCCATGCGCCTGGACACTGATTTGCCTGTGTCGCGAGGGAGGGGTGGCGAACTCGATGTCATCTCTGAGGAGTCCCCTTACTAGTGTGTCTGCACGTCCCACTGCATGCGCATGTCTGTAACAGTCCTTCAGTGGTTGCATAATCTACACCATTCCCACAGCTGGTCTTCCATCTTTGGCCGTGTTGGTGCGGCAGGAAGTCTATCCAGGTGATGGCCGGCAAGAGCCCTGGTTTGTTTGCCTGCTTTTTTAGGCGAGATCAATATGAGAACTCTGCTGATCTCACCCACACGATGCCGAGGTGCTACCGTGTGGTCTACGATTTGGGAATAGGCGACTTCTGGCAAACGTGCATGTTCCTTTAGCAATTCCAACACGTCGGGCGAGTGACCAGGTATCCGAAAAGAGCCCAACATCGGAGCCAAGCGCACCGGAGAGGATCTCCTTCCTGGTGAATGTTTCGAGATCAAGAAAGAGGCTGTGGGGTATTACTAAATCTGAAACACTTCGTGGCCCCGCGGACCATAACTTATGTCAGATGCATTGCAGCTGTTGTGTCTTTTGAGCCCCAGGCTGCAGCAGTAGAACAGCAGAACTTACAAATTCTGATGTCTTTGCTCTTGCAAGATTCGCCGTGCCGGGCGGCGCTACTTCGAGCTACTCGATGGAAGGGGCTGGGTCTTTGACTGGTCTCGCCGCCCTGCTTCTTCCCGTTTTCAACTCGCTCTAGGACGATGTCCAATGCCAGGACCGAGGTTGATGGCGAACGAGTCGAACTTGTGGAGCTGCTTGGGCAATTGTTTAATTGGAACTGGACCAAGATCGCACTTCGTGATCTGGTATGCCTGGTCTTGTCCTCTCTCATCTCTCGGCTCAGAACGGAAAACTTAAGTATATGTATGCATGGATGGATGGACACATGCATTTCAGTATGTCTCCATGCGCGGCCTGTCCCGCTTTGACGCCCTCGGCATTGCATGCGAGCTTTGACTTTAACGATGCCAAGGCTTGCAGCCCAGCTCTACACGGACACTCAGCCGAATTTGCAGGGAGTGTTCTTTTTCTGACTCCCGTTGAGATTTGATCCGCGAGGTAGCTTTCCCTGACGGAGTGAACGGCATTGCCTGGAGTGGCTCAGCTTTTGTTCAGGTTTGTTTAGCCTACTAGGTGCTCATTCGATTCGTCTGACTTGAAAATTCTGTGTGAGCTTTTTACGAACTGCTAAATTGGAAGCACTGCTGCTCGGTGAGTATGCGGGCTTCAAGACGCCATGTAGGGCATCAGAGTTCGCCAAGATGTAACTTCTCTGACGGAACCGAGAAGTGTTGACTAGCAGTTTCGCTTCACATTGGAGTCGCAGTGAGAGCGCAATCTCCGCTCCAAGGCTCCGATGCTACCATGCGATTTAGCACAGTCAATGGCTTCACCAACGAGGCCTGCTTTCTTGCACACCTGCTGCTGCCGAACAAATCATACGAAATCAGTTGCAACTGGGATTTGCCAGGTTGAAGCGACCAACCTTGCGCAGGCAGGCAGTTCTATCCAGCTCCTTGTCGCTGTTCCACTACCGCCCTGGTACGAAGGCTGGAATTCGCACGGGCGACGTTCTCGTGATGATTGACCAGGCCCACAGCCCCGGGTGGCAGCCCTGTGCATGAGCAAGACACGGCAAGTCCAAGGGTCAAACCCCGGCCATGTTTTCGAGCATATCGAAGCCGGTCGATTTCTCTCATCAATGTATGTTGCACGGTGTGATTCTCTTGCAGCCTGCTGCACCAAGTAATGCCAATCGATCACACGTGTCAGTTTTTAGGCACAGTGCGGCGTGATCGTGAACGGACACTTTCATTTATTCATAGTGCCTGCAGGATCCCGTGGTTGGCATGCCTTTTGGGCAGGCCTCTCTGCCAACACTGCACCAGACTAGCACAAGCAGAGCGATACTAGAGCTATCTAGAACTCGGTGAGCCTCCAGCGCCACAGGTTTTGGAACGGATTTGGGCAACTGCCGGCCGCCAACCGGGATCAGGAGGGGAACAGGAAGGTGAAGTGCCGGCTGCTCGTGCGGTGCCGTGCTGTGCCGCAGGATATTTTTACAAGGTGACTACAGAGACTCCTTACGGCATCGGGCCCTTCCGGCTATTGTTGCATGTGTCGCAATTTTACAGCTCTGTGCCCGCCAGGATTCGAGATGAGCCGGACATCAACGGCCCAAGAACTGGCGAAGACTTGATCCGAGGAGCAGTCTTCGAGGCATCGACGACGCAAGTGTGGGTCTAGCAAGGTTGCCCAGCGATGCGATCGAAGTGCAGGTGGATGAGATGGTGGAGGTGGAGGCACGCCATGACATAGGTAATGGCACTGCGAAATTGAACACTCACCTGCGCAGGGAGCTGTGCAATATTAGATGCTGACTGCAGATCATTCTTAGCAGGGCACTCTTAGGTCCTTAGGCGCAAGTTCCTTCCACTCTCTGCTTGAGAGTGCAAGTATGTGCAAGTCGTTTCAGCCATCTTGCGTTCTTGGAGGATGACATCACGTATCTGCACCTGGCGGACCAGCGGGGTTGGGTGAAGGGCTGTGAGATTGCAGCGAGAAGACATCTTCAAAGCCTTGTGTGCACTCGTTTAACCGCAGTTGCTGTCAGGTCTTTGACAACTCGGCAAAGGAGCCGGATACCCCGCCAGATGCTTGCTGCAGCTGCTATCACCGGCCTGCAGTGTGGTCATGGCCTTCAGGTGCGTCATCAACCTGGCAGAGATCGAACCCGGATGCACCTTGACCATGTGGCGCGGGGAGGCAGCATGCCAGGGTGCCAGGGCCTTCTGACGTCGAGTCCAAGCAGCGCGGCAGGTCGATGAGTTGGCGAAGACCATTGGTCTCAGGTTCAAGCAGGACGCTGTGAGTGTCTTGTTGTAAAGTCGCACACTACCAGCCAAGACTGAATGGGCTAGAAGCGGCTAGATCCGCTAGGTGTTACAGGGTTCTACTCGTATCGCAGGATGGCAACGAGGGCCAACCTTTTACATTGACTGTGCTGGAAGAGGGAGAGCTCGCAACTTTGCTTCTGCTTCCTTGCAGAGAGGCAAACAAGCGTGATAAGCACGTCTACTGCCTCTTGCTAGTCCAGTCTTTGCTCCTTTCTGCCCAGGCCCATCCAGCGTGTTCCGTGTGCGCCTGGCTCCAACCTGCGCAAGACGCTTCTAGCAAATGGCTTCCAGGAGGGACCGCTTGGGTTTTTTTGAGCACATTGTCCTCGTTCGTCCGGTTGCCCTGACTGCCAGGTCTATCAAGATCTTCGTTCTGTCTTCAACTGCAACGCCCAGCAGCTTTGTGGGACCTGTGTTCTGGACGTGATGGAGGCCTCCCTGCCACGGACTTCTGGCCATTGCTGAGACGCCCTGTTTGCAACAGGGTGACGGCAACCTCACCGACCCCAGCTCAGGGGACACAATGGCGTCCCTTCAGGTGGGAGCTGCGCAGTCGGAATGTGCTTCCCTTTGAACCAAGGTCCGATCTGTGAACGAGGCAGCGGTCATGTCAGCCAATCCACCCAGCTTCAGGCAGAGCCGTCGCCGTGTCATGCCAGAGGGAAGCTGCACACATCTGCACTGGCACATGCTCCGGTTGACCAGCCATGACAGAAAGCCCAACAGGCTTTGTTGCAACATTGACGTCTATGGTGACATTACCGTAAGGCCTGGCATCTTCGGGGAGTGTGAAGATTCGCGAGTCATGCGCTTCGTGGCTTGGGAAGGCTGCGTCCACGTGGGGTGAAATACGGCGGAGGCACCAGCTGAGGGCAGGTCGCCCAAGCCACGACCAAACTCTCTGCCGCAAGCTCGCAGTGCGCAAGCACCGTGCTCGTGCACAGAGAACATTGCCAAAGACCGTGCTGTCACGTGCGGCATGTTCCGGAGCTACTCGTAGCCTCCAATCGATAATTCGCCTGGCAACCAGACTTTCCGCAATTGTTTAAGCTTATGCACGCGTAGGCAGAAGAACGTAGACAGCTGGGCAAGTCCATAAATGGATGCCCGAGAAGGATTCTCCACCCGGCCTAGACCCTGACAGCAACGCGAGACATCCGATAAAGCTGTGTTCATGTTCAGCTTGCTGCCTCAGCTCAGCATCTTACTGCTTATCGATGTTTGTTTCCGAGTTTTGGAGCCTTTCAGCAACGTCAGGACTTGACTTTCACAAGGCTTAGCATAGCGTGCCACAGCCGAAGATTCGCAACCATACGGACAGGCAGAACAACCCAGGCGCACATTGTCTGGAATTCCTCACAGTCTCACGCCTTAGGTGACCCTGATTCCAGCATGATTAGCTGTGGCCATAGAGGTGAGACAGGCAGCATCAAACAGGGAGTGCCCTCGACAGTAGCACGAGCTGTTGCTCTCCCTCTGCATGTGAGACCGCACCTTTTCACTAGCAGCCAGAGGCCTGGGAATTCTGAGCAGATCAGTGGTGGTCAAGTTGTCGCAGGCATCATGCAGCCTTCTTACTCCTTACTCGCTGAGTGTTCAGGCCGCTGGCCGTGAAAGACATGGGAGCAGCCGTGCAGGACACAAGAGCTGTTGAGTGTTGAAGCGAGGAAGCGAGCGGCAGTGAGTCCAGAGGCGTGTGTGTTCACCATTGGCTTGATTGGCGTGCTGATCTTTATGTGGCTTGCAGAAGCCGGCTCAGAGATGTGTCCATCCTTGCACAGCTTCCTGCCTTGTTTGGAACCCAAGGTGCCTACTGAACAAACGTTGGATTTGAAGTTTCCCAATGTGCGCGACCTGTATTTAACTTCGCTGATGTTCAGTCTTGCGTTGGGCGTTGAGCCAGGGCTGAGGGCGCGGGAGGATTCTGATGTTGCTGCCGTTTGGCTCGCTGGTTGACCGCCGCCGCGCCGCAGCTGCATGCGCTGAATCTTCTCCTGCTTTGCTTCTCGCCGAGAACTGATAGGAGAAAGCTCGGAGCTAGAGAGATGCCTCCCGCGTTTTTTGGCTTGCACCAAGGATGAGCGGGCAAGCATCTGAGAGTTCCGAATGGGAAGATACTCGTAGCTGGTATGGCATCAGAAGGCAAAGTAAGAATCTTGAGGCTGGCCGCACTCTTGGAGCAGAAGCTCACTGGCTTGAACAGTGTCTCGCTCAATCGCGCGTGGTTTACAAAAGAGGAATCCTCGCAGAGACTGCTCCAGGTTACTTTGGAAGCCCGAATTGCCTTTCTGTTCCGGATCCTGGACGTTCGACTTTGGCTAGGCACGAGCTTTCCGGGCTTGACAAATCACCTGAGCACGTTGTTGACTGTCAGCACTGCCCTTCCATCATCGCCTTCATCAGCTGCCTCTCAAAATCGTGGTTCCGTTCTGAGCTGTCGGGTCTCCAAATCCGAACCCAAAGCGTTACGAAGGGTTTCTTCGGGCGATTGCTTCCGTGTGCTGTTGAATGTGGCAACGCTCTTGGTGGAAATTGTGCCTGCTGGCGCTCGGAATGCACCGGAAGTTGTACTGAGCTATTCAAAAGGAAGTGGTACTTTGCGTGATGAGGCTCTTTGCGGGACTCGTCGGAAGCGCCCGAGGATGGGAGCATGTGGGCATCCTGGCGCCCTTCACGTCCGACACGCGAAGCACACGAAGCGCACCTTGCACCTTTGGTGTCATCGTCGCGATGTGTCTGTGGCTGTCCAAGGCCCTGGGTCCCTGCTCCCGTCCGTGCTGAACGCTGTTTAGCACGGAGTGGCACCATCGATGAGGCTGATCAAAAACGGGCTGATGCCGAGAGACGAATCACAGCTGCCAGGGTTCTCTCAGTGCACAGCCACAGAACCTGGGAAAGCTGGAAGCGCTCAGCGCGCGGCTTAAGCACATGTCAACGCTTTTGCGGCCGTTCGAGCCCGGTTCCAGAGGCACGCTCAAAGATGAATTCAAGCGAGGGCCTCCGGAGTCAGCTCATGGTCATGAGGCCTTTGATTCAATGCTCGCCAAGCAAGGTTCAACAAGAGCTTTGGAGCCAAAGTGGACGGCTTGATCCGAGAGGGGTCGGCGGGGGGCAAGTCAGTCACTTTCTGTCTTTGAGCCGTTGGTGCGAAGGTACAAGGGCTGGAGGCGCGTGAGAGGCGACGGAAACTGCCAGGGCCGTGGCAGTCGTGCCTTCTTCTTCACTGATTCTTGCCCTCGCAGATGCGCAGCATCTCAACGCATGCCTTCGAGGCTTTTACCGTGCTGTCGGCTATAGCCTGATCGAGCAGATCGTCGCGAGCTTACGCTTGAACTGACCGGTGCTCGATGTAAAGGCTGGTCTTCCTCAAAGCGACCTGCATCTACCTGCCAAGATACTCTCCGAACAACGGCAAACTGCGGCTGCAGCGCTCGCCGAGCTCTCGAGCGGACGACAGAAGCACAAACTCACGTCCGACGTGCCTCGAGGTCCGGCAGTTGCGAGAACTGCAGTTGGAGGAATCCTCCAAGGACCCCAAGCAAGTGGATTTTTTAGCGCGGAGTGCAGGAGCCTGCCGAGCAGAAAGCCCACGAGCGCTTGGCGGCAGACCCGGATTGCGAACTCGGCGAACACCGGAAGCGGGACCCTCGCAGTTTTTGTCTCAGGTGGGCCATTTAGAGCGAGTGGCTGCAGGCTTGCACTGGCAGGAGTGGCCCCTGCATGCTCGCTTGCAACAAGAGGCAGCTGGAACCTTTTCACACATCCGTTTCGAGTTCTTGCGGCTTAGACAGCCCACGGCCCAGTCATGATCGGGCGATGATCGGGCTGTCAGCCACGACTCCTCCATGCCCTATATGCCCTATGCTAACGAAGCTGCAGTGTAGTTTTTTGCTCGGGATTTCTGAGATCTGCAGTCGGCGATGGCCGCATAAGGCCTTAAGAAGCCCAGAAGCCGAGTCGAGCTCAATTGCCCCCACACTATGCCAAGCCTGGTCAGCTTGTAGCCTGGATGGCATGGCTTCAACAGTGGCGCCTTGCCACTGCCTCGTGGGTCTCTGGAGGCTTGTGGCCCCATCGCAGGGAGCTAAGGAGTCCTGAAGTGTGGTTCGTAAGTGCCGACTCGATCCTGTGGGCAGTGGGCGAGGTTTGAGGACGCCTCGCAACAGAAGCTGCTAAGTGTTCAAGACGCTCTGCTGGTGCTAATCTTGCGGCTGAGTCCAGGACATGAGCCATCCATGTCTGAGGATTTGGCGGCGCTGCCAAAGACGTCGAGCACGCGAGACTGCCCACTGGGAACCAGTTCGCAGGTCAGCCATCATGCCAAAGTCGAGTTGTTCTCTTCGAGTCTGTAACCGTTCGTGAGTCCTGCGCAAGGCAGTTTGGCCGGACTTTTGGCCCGACTACAAGGGTGCTGCTTCGCTTGGTTTTTGCCTGACCTACCTGCTGTACTGCAACTGTTAGGTGCTCCTTGCTTCAGTCGGCCATCGGGAAAAGTCCAACGCCAAGCACTGGCAGACTGGACATTCTTCCAACTAATCCACGCAACCTTTCGGTCACAGCGAGGTCGCCAGTGATCGCAGGGAGCTCCGGGGAGATCCGAGAACCGGTGTTGCAGATCCGTCGTTCTTTGCATGTGGAGGACCCGCTGCGGGAAGCCACCTGCACTTTCGAGAGCGATGCACGCGCTCTGATTGGAGCTCAGAGCAGTTCAAGAGACCGAGCATCCTGGCATCCTTCTGCACTGATGCCGGTGGAGCGGAAGGTTCCAGGAGTTCTCAGAGATGGTGGAGGCTTGCAGCCTCGCGAGCGAGCAGGCCTTGGGGCCCTTGGGGCCTTGCCCCCCCACAGCGAACGCAGCTGTGCCAAGTCAGGCTGAGACCGTGGCGGGTCCCGCCGGTCGGATGCAGATCCGGACGTTGCTTCGCAGCAACTCCGCCAAGGCCAGGACTCAGAACATCTCAGAACCTTCAAAGAGAGACATCCGTTCGTCTAAGGTGTTTTGTCGCCTCGCCTCGTCCTTTCAGGTCTGGGCGGCCGAGGTGCCGGGCAGCTCCTGCGGTTTCACCTGCTCTAGGCCCGGCAAAGGGCAGAGTGGGGCCAAATCCAAGAATTCCATTTTGAGTCCTAGTCCTAGTTGACAAAGCCAAGACCCCCAGTTTGTTTTTCGCAGAACTGTTAAAGACTTGCTTTCGGCCCCACCCGACTGCTACCGCGGGTGGTGCAGGGAGGCGCAAAGAGGTGACCATGCATGCATTGCAGGATTGATCTGCACCTCGACATGGCGCCGGAGGTCTGGCTTGGCTGTAACGATGCTCAGAAGCTGTCCTTGCATCGCTTAGAGGCGGTGATGTGGGCGATCTACAACGTGGACGAACGGCTGGAGTGGGTCCGCCACCGGAGGTTCTTGAGGCTTTTCTTTGCACAGTGTTGCTGCACCGAGGATGACGACAGCTTCGAGGCCTACGAGCTCCTCTGCGAGGCCTTTGTTGCGGGGCAGCGCTGCACCCTTCAATGACGGTGGCTTGCGGTGGCGTGGCTTGGGGCAAGGCAACGCCTCAGTCTTGCAGCCGGGCCTTGGGAGATGTCGTGTACTGCAGGCTTCAATTGCGTAGGCCTGAACTTATCATCTTGCCCGTGTGCATGTGCAGATTCCCTGGAATGGCCGGCGTCTCTGGCCGTGACGTCGGCCCCTGACATGGAAGCCTGGTGCAGCTGTAGGACTGTCGGATGTCATGCCAACGGCCAAGGTTGTGCAGGAACGCTTCTTGCTTTGTCCAGACGATCCGGTTGGCGGATGTGTGCTGCCAGCTTGCCTGTGCTCGCGGCCTGTCGTCGGCTTGATAGTTGCTTTCTTGGCAGGCGATTGTCAT